ATTAGAGTCAAGCCCCTTGGTGATCGTAATTTCCAACATGTCTCTGCATCTTTGTATCCTAGCCATCGAGAAAATCCACTTGCTGTTTTGAGAGAAACACTTTAACTGTATTTTTTCTTGTATTATTCTGATTAGGAGGAGTCAGATGTGGTGGGGGTATTTTCAATTATGAGCATGCAGAGCCAGCTTTAACTCCATATTTTTTTTTTAATAATTTCATCCCAAGCAAGGCAATAAAGCAACTAAGACACAAGCAGTTACTGAATGTGAAAGAAAATGAGAAAAAGGAAAACACTATTAAAGAGAGCGTGAACAATAAACGAACAGGCATTAAGATAACGATTGACATTGATCTTCAAAAGTTTAATTGCAAAGTTGATTGAAAAGCAAAAATCTGGAGGAGTGTTCCACAAGCGAGAAGTATGAGAGAAGAAACTGTTAGCATAGAACTTACGGTTACATTTAGCCATTTCAACTGTAAAATGAGGAGACCTTGCTGCCAATCTAGTACTGCACTTAAATTCATAAAGTCTAGGTATCAATTCCATTGCTGCCAATTTCACCGTATTGAATCTATCAGACTAACCATTAAGACAGGAGTAAATAGTTCTTTCATCTTTATATTCCTAGTTATGATATCTGTGTAGATATCATGCCAGCAATTGATGTTATTGGGTTGACTGTCACACACATATATATATATATATATATATATATATATATATATATATACACACAAGTATATGATTGGTGTATATGGAATAAATTTTAATAACCAACAATTACTATTCTTAAAAGAGTGCTCAATATAGAGTCGAGCAAATATAATTATTTATTTAAAACTTATAACATAAATATGTTATAAAATCACTACAAAAATAGCCATTTTGTTTCAACACCTCTGGTGTCTTATCAAGTGATGATGTTGAATGTAGATTGTAGAATAAAGCTTTTTAAAAGGTTCAAATTAATTAACCACACCTCATAAGGGGAAACGCTGTTACATGAGCTTAAATGACCAATCAAAATACAAGTATACGAGAATTCAAAAAACTTGACTACTTGAATTCTCGTATACTTGTATTTTGATTTAGGATTATTTATTAATTTCCTTTGATTTCTGGTGTGTGAGACTTAAGATCAGAAATAGCATCATGACATTTTCCATTGAGCAGTTAAAAAAAAAAAACATATTTTACATAGATAATGCCCTTTGTAAGATGTGGGCTGTACTCATGAGAACAATTTTTTTGTATTTCTTTAAGGCATGGGCTAAGAGGAATCTCTTCCAATCAATCTGAAGGCTCTAACAACAACTGAGATTGTTGATGTTCCCATGTGCCACATTTTTGAGATTTCGATTTCAAGGTCCTTATATTTCGATAGCTTTTTGAAGATCTTCAAAGATACTTTGCAGTCCGCACGGACTGCCATATCAATAAGGAGTCACTTTTTGTCTTTGTGGTCATGAATCATGATGTCTGGCCAATTAGTTTTGATTGTTCTGTCTGTGTGTCTTGTGTAATCCCATAAAATTGTTACAGTTCCTATCTCTGTAATCGGGTCTGGATGTGTTCATACTTCCTTATTATTATTATTATTATTGATAAAAATTTCTTTATCTAGATAATTAAGTTTTTCAATTGTGTTTTTCCTGAGCAAGGGTACAAAGCCTGCATCCTTGGTTTCTGTACATTAATTCTGCACCTGCTGAGTCAATTCTTATTTAACAATAAAATTTTCTTTTACAGAAAACTAGAAGACTTGGTGGCTTATCTCACAAAATATAAAGCTTATAATTTCTTGAAAACCCATGGCCGAGACACACCCAGGTTAGAAGTTTCATTTGTTTTTTATGCTTTTATAAGACACTTGCTTCTTTATAAACTGCTTTTTTTCTTCATGTTTTTGTAAAGCATTTCCTTTTTACACTATTTACATCATTTGGTTCGTTGTTGTTATTTTTATTGTCATATTCACAATGTTTTGGCCATTGTATTCTCTGGCCTTCTTCAGGTGATATACATAGGGATTTCACATTGGAGTGTATAATGGCTGAAATGTGAATATAACAATAAAGATGAGGATAACAGTTTAAAGGATGTAAATAGTGTAAATAGTTACAATATCTCATCTCAGACGAATTTGCTTTTTATAAACTGTTTCTTCATGCTTTTGTAAAACATTTGCTTTTTATAAACTGTTCATGTTTTTGTAAAAAACATTTGCTTTTTATAAACTGTTCGTTTTTTTATGCTTTCATCAGCCAGAGTGCTTCTTCATGCCTGTATAAAAAAAAATTATTTTGAATTACAAGCTAATAAACACAAACAAATAGCCAGTGTCTTAAAAAAAATTAGCATGTTACCTCCCATCCTGAATATGTTTGCTGGGTGTGTGTGTGTGTGGGGGGGGTCATGACACTAATATTTTGAAGTTTTAACCTACATTACTAAGTATTTCTTTAGTACTTTGATCGGCAAAGCATCCTCACTGCCCTATTGCTATTTCCGTGTAAAGTGTTCAGACGAACTATATTCCTTGGTTACACCAGTTTTAACTTTCACGTTTAAGACCCACCATGACCCCCCCCCCCATTGTAGCAAACCACCTTCATTCTCTTCATATTCCATTGGTGAGATGTAAGTTCCACTAAAGCAGCTTCTTCCCATGAACTGTGGCTTTGTGGAACTGAGTCCCAAGAGGATGCTTCCTGAATCACTACAATCTTAGTCTATTCAAGTCTAGAGTTAAGCGTTATCTTTCCCACATATCCCCATAAACTCTTACTCTATGACCATCTACCTTGAGTGGCTCTTGGGTCTTTTACAGAGTGAACATCATTGTAAAATGTCTGGTTTGCACAAGAACCCAGAAACTAGATATGGTTTTGAATTGCATTACAGCTGAAAACTTAGACATAGATCTGTTTTGCATGAGAGGCAAAAATGCTAAATATAGATCCAACTTGAATGAGGGCCAAAACGCTAGACATTAGGTCTAGTTTGCAGGAGAGTGAAAAAACGTGGCATATGTTTGGTTTGCACAAATGCCAAAAGACTACACATATGTCTGCTTTACATGATAGGTGAAAAGCTAGACATAGGTCCAGATTGTACAAGAGTCCAAAAGGTAGACATAGTATGCAACATGATAGTTACTGTAGATGGGATGCCAGATCAGGACCAATCTCACAGATGTGTTGTGGCTTCCCTCTGCCTTTTCTACAAGTACTTTCATGGCAACTGCTCCGACAAGCTACTTTTGCTGGTTCCCAAACTGCGTGAATCTAAGCATGCTACTAGGTTGGCATCTTGGACCCTTCCTTTCACTGTCAAAATGACTAAATGTAGCCATTTCTTCTACTCCAACAGCTTCTTATCTCACACCTCCCATCAGTGGAACTCCCTTTCTATCACTTGCTTCCCTGATAGCTATAATCTTCGAATATTCAAATGTAATTCGAATCGACATCTTCTGATGCCTTGATTGATCCCTGTTCTTCTGTTTATCCTTTTCCTAAACTCTCATCTTTACTCTTACTCTCTGTAACCCCTTGCATGCCAGTTGTCCTGGGTAAGACGATAAACTACGTCCAACAGCAAGGCCTCTGATCAGGAGGTTTTGAGGAGCATGGAACCACCTCTTAATTGTTGGTCTTCCCAGGTTCACCCTGACTCAGGGTAGTATTAGCTGTTAGGGTCCCAGCTATGAGCAAATAGCTAACCCCAAAACTGAGGTAAAAAGTATTATAAAAGCGTAAAAATGGGTTTTAATACCAGAGATACTTTGTAAAAGAATTATTACCAGAAATAAATTTTTAAAGAAAAAAAAAAAAAAACTATTACCAGCAATATATTTGTGACAAAAATATTACCAACAATACATGTTTTAAAATAATTACAAGCTATACATTTTTGAGAAAAAAATATTACCAGAAATAGATTTTTGACAAAAAAAAATATTACAAGCAAAAAAAGTTTCTGTCTATATTTCTGAGATGAGTTATGTACACTATTTACATTATTTGGACGATTGTCTTCATCTTTGTTGCCATATTTATTACAACGTTTCGGCCGTTGTACACTCTGGCCTTCTTCAGGTGGTTGGAATGTCGAACTGAACCCTTTATTTCGCTCACTGGGGTAGGCTGTTCTAGTTACAGATGCTATGCTTAATGGATGTCAAGGACACATAGCACAGTGGATAAAGGTGTTGGTTAGATCCAGTGACAGGACCCAAAGAGTGTGTGTTCAATATCCGGTTGAGGCAGTGGAGAACTTGGAGAGAGAATTAGCAGGAGATAACTGATAACTGACATCCATTAAACATGGCAAGTGGAACTAGAACAGTCTACCCCAGTGAGCTTTAAAATAAAGGGTTCAGTTTGCATTCCAACCACCTGAAGAAGGCGAATTATATTCAAACCTTGTAATAAATATGGCAACAAAGATGAGGACAATAGTCCGAATTATGTAAATAGTGAAAAAAAGTTGTTGGCATTAAATAAGCCAATGAGGTTGATATGCCATAAAACACAAACCAAACCAAACCAAAACTGTTGCATGCTAGTGACACTCCTGTCTTGCTTAGTGATTTGCTTAAAAAAAGAAAGTTCAGGTTTACACAATAGTCAAAAAGTGGACACATGTCCAATTTGCAGAAGAGTCATGAGACATTCCATTGTTCTAGTGAACAATGGATTATGAGGCATGTTCATTTATTGATGTTGAATAATGCTTTTTGTAAGCACAACAATGTTTATTAGCAAATAAGGAAAATCAGGCAGTGTGACACATTAAGTCACATTGTGTTTTTATACTAATTTGTATATTAGGTCGGAGATTTTCTATTTCTGTGATTCGCTTTGCTTACTTAACGTTTATCGAATGATTATTGGTTTAATAAAGTGCAGCAGCAGTTAATATGAAAGAAATAGGGGTCCAAAATTGATAAGACAGTGGCACGTTGACGTCCACTTCAACCTTGACCTCACAGAAATAAATTCTCTTCTGATGATTTCCTCTCAAGAAAGTCAACTGAATAAGCAGACTATTACTGTAAGCAAGTACTAATTGCATCAAAAGTTTCAAAGCAATCGCATGTGACAATTTCTAACCACTAATAGCATGGAATATGAAATCAACATGTATTCATTATTAAAAAACAGTATTGATTTTTGTCATGGGTATCACGATAAACTGCATCCAACAGCAAGGCCTCTGATCAGAAGGTTTTGAGGAGCATGGAAGCACCTCTTAATTGCTGGTGTTCCCAAGTCCACCCTGACCTGGGGTAGTAGCACCTGTTGGGGTCCCAGCTATGGGTAAATAGTTGACCCCAAACTGAGGTCAAAACACTATGAAAGTGTAAAAATAGGTTTTAATACCAGAAATACTTTGTAAAAAATTATTACCAGAAATAAATTTTTGAAGAAAAAATACATTTTTGGAAAAAAAAAAATATTAAAAAATAATCTTCTTGGCATTAAAAAAAAATCCCATTTATTTCTTACAAAGAATTGATTTTTCATTAAAAAAAAAAAAAAATTTTGTCTATAAACTGATTTCTATGGCATAAAAAAATACATATTCTATTCATACATTCTTTCATAAGATCCTCCAAAAAAAATGTCTGCATTAAATAACCCATTGAGGTTGATATGCCATAAAACTAAAACCCACAATTTGACCAAACCAATATTGATTTATATATGAACTGCTGCCTTGTGGAACCAACTCCAAAATTGATTTATATGCTTCATTGATCACTATGCTTAAAAAAATCATTGAATCTTAACCTTAAAACTAATATTAACTGTTAACCCCATATATCCTCGTAAACTGCACGTCTTACTCTGTAAACCTCTATCTCGAGTGGCTCTCGGGTCTTGTACAGTGTGTTAAAATGATTGTGATGGAATATCTGAAAATCAGTTGGATGTTTAATTTTTTTTTTTATTCTGTTGCTACCATAATAATAGTAATAGAAAACTTAAGGAATCATTGCATATGCTACACGACAAAAATCTCTTATTCCAGCCAAGCAATATACATGAATACAATATGGAAACCAGTAATACAAAGAGCTATAGAAAAGCAATAATAACAATAAATTGTAATATGAGCTCTGGTAAAAAAAGAAAAAAAAAAATGGTTACTGAGACATTACATTCATAAACCAGAAAAATTCACTCACTGATTGTCTTCAAGGACAATTGTTCATATTTCTTTTCTTTTTTACAATGATGTTCACACTGTACAAGGCCTGAGTGCCACTAAATGTAGAGGGTTACAGTGTAAGCGGCACAGTTTATGAGAACATATAGTGGGGAAGAAAACGGTTGGTTGATTGATCCAAAAAGTGACTTAACCAAAGAATTGTGAGTTCAATACCTAGTCACAGCAGAGGGGGAGAAAAACTTGGAGACTTGAGTTACTAAGGAGAATTAACTGAAACTAAGTTGTCTAAAGGCATGGCATGTAGAATTAGAACAATCTATCTTGAGGGATTAAATATAGGGTTTCCAAAATTCCAACATATATAACCTGCCCAAATGTTGTGAATATGACAATAAAGATGAAGACAACAGTCTGACTAGTGTAAATAGGAGTAGATAGGTTCATCTATCGTCCGGTTCACACTCCTCCCCAGTTTTTTCAACAGGAGTAAAGGTTTATCCCTTGTTTCCTGTTTAGGACTGGGTTTCCAGTTCCTTCTAAAATTTATTTCAACTCTATACTTCTAACGTCTCTGAAATTTTATTTATTGATTATTTATTTATTTACTTTATTACTTTATTTTTCCTCAATATGAGTAGATATGTTTGTCTATCATCTAGGTCACACTTTTCTCTGGTCTTTTGAACAGGAGTAAAGGTTCATCCCTTGTTTCCTGTTTAGGATTGGGTTTCTCGTTCCTTCACTTCCAATAGCCTTGGGGTGAATCAATTAAAAAAAAAAAAAATTTTGTTTAATGAAACATCATTAGAACAACTAAAAACATTAAGAAAAATTTTATTATGATGGAAAACCTGCTATTTAGAAATGCTGTGTTTAATTTGAAAATTTATTAGTTAATAAAATTTAGTATAAATATTTTTGAATAAAATGTCTGAACAAATCAATGAGATTTGTAAATAGGAAAATGTAATGAGTTGGAGTAGGCCTCCAATCGGTTGTGAACTGGGGCAGGAATTGGCTGGTTAACTTTAATGCCTCAAAAACAAAACTGTTCTCTATTACTCATCAAAGAGAACTATCCCTGCCCCCATTAGAATGTCTGGCCCTCAAATTCTCAAGAGTTCCTCTTTGCGACTACTCAGCCTCACATTGGCTACTGACCTGAGATGGAACAAATACATTGAGTCAATAGCTTTGTCCACCGCAAGGAAAGTTGGCTCCCTGTGCCATGGCAGGAAATTTTTCTCACTGAGTCGATCCTTCAAATCTACAAATCAACCATTCGTCCTTGCATGGAGTATTGCTGCCATATATTGTACAGTGTCCCTTTTGTTTGTCTCAAGGTTTTTGATAAGATCCAGAGATGAATATGCAATGTAATTGGGCCTGATCTGGCATCTCATCTGCAGTTGCTCTCTCACATACGTGCTGTCGCCTCCCTCTGTCTTTTTTACAAATACTTTCATGGTAATTGCTCCGAGGAGCTGCATTTGCTGGTTCCCAGACTTCATGAATTTAAGCATTCTACTAGGCTGGAATCCTGCTCACACCCTTTCACTGTTGAAACTGTTAAATGTAGCTGTCTCTTCTACTCCAATAGCTTCATGTTTTGCACCTCTCGCCTGTGGAACTCCCTCCCCTTTTCCTGTTTCCCTGATAGCTATAATCTTCAACTATTCAAATGTAATGTCAATCGACTTCTCCAGATGCCTTGATCTATCTCCTATCCTTCTCTTCATTTTTTCCTCTATCACTCCTATTTGGTCTCACTCCAATTCTTTGTAACCCCTTGCGTGCTAGTGGCTTCCTGCCTTGCTTCGGGTGAAATGCTTTAAAAAAAAAAAAGGAAAATAAGAGAGTTATGATAAAAAATATAACCTGTGTATATTTAAAGAAAAAAGTGAATACATATAATTAATTCAAATGATAATTCATGATAGTATTATTTCAGCATTAAGGAAAATATAGAATTAAAATATAAATTCATGATAAAATCTTACTAAAGCAAATCTTACTCAAGGGTCCCAACTTTTTCATCATTGCCGACTTTCACATGGAAAAATTTTCCACCACCCACCTGTATAGTAAATATTCAAAAGCATACCAAAATTTTTTGGTAAAAGTTTGTTATTGGTTCGTAAACTGACTTTATGATGTTGTAAAATATACCAAAGGGAGGTAACAAACTTATGCAGCTGCTGCTGCATTAAAGAATGAATGAAAGCAAACTTTACCACTAAAAATTTATGATTTAGTTTTATGGTTAACATCGCAAGCGTTGACAAAAAAATTAACCAATTTTTGTTAATAATTATAAAATTAAAAAGAATTTACATTACTTCTCTTTAAAAAAATTTAGTTCTTGATCTTCCCTTATCTGATTTATATCCAAAAAAATTTATCTCGTCTGAAGAACTATTTGAATACTAATGACCCTTCTTAAAACTATAGAAAATACCAAAATATTTGTCGTTTGTGGGGATATTTATATTTTATCTAGGAATGTGTCCCAGTTATTCTCATTTAAACTCCTATTTTTTTTTAATACAGGTTCTTTGCATATCTCCCTTAAATATATTTTTGGGTAGCATATGTTGAAATGCCTTTTTAATACTCAAAATTCTATATCACTGACCAAATTTTCCAAATGTCCACCAATTTCTGTTCAGTTGGTCATCGCCCACTTACCTGTTGAAATTGCTCACCAGTGGGTGATATAGCCCCAGGTTGGGAAATTTTGGTTTAACCAGTATCTGTTTTAATATTGTTTTCTTTAAATATTCTCTTAGCCTGAAATGGGGAATTTAATAAAAAACAACTTTTTAATCAATTGAATTGTGATATCATAGCTGATTCAATAATTCTTCAAGATGATTTAAGATGAATAAGGTCAAGCATTTTTCTTGATGCGTATTTTCAGTTAGAAAAGGTGATATATTATAAAAATTCACTTTTTGGTTAATTCAGTTGTGATATCATAGCTGATTCACTAATTCTTCAAGATGATTTATCTCTATCTATAAAAGGCAGGATGTGTGTGTGTGTGTGTGTAACGAATGTACGGACACAGTTTTCGATGGATTTACATCAAAATTTACATGCACATGCTCCAAGTTAGCGGGAAGGCCAAGACCAACTTTGCATTTCCCAACTCCCAATTGATAGTGGAAATAATCGATTTTTTCATGCTTCTACGGCAGTTTTCATGTAGTTTGCGGCCATTTTGTACTGGCCAGAGTGAGAGCCAATAGCTGGCTGCCACGAATAGGCAGGAAGATTCTATTGGCCAGCATGAGAGCCAACAGCTGACTGACATGAATGTTAACTAGCATGCAAAAAAAAAAAAAAATAGTTGCATTCGTCATCTCAATAATTGGAAAAAATTTAAATCTGCATGGCACTTTTACTCCAATTGGCTTATTCGCTTGCTTAAACTCAACGTTGATTCTGATTCCGCAGAAGTGGGTTAGGTGTGAAAAAGTATTTGTTGTTAACATTCTTTTTTCATTCGGTTTTTCCAGTTATGAGTCCTTTTTTTCGTAACAGATTTAATGTTTAGTATAGAGCTTCAAAAAAAATTAGCAGTGTGAGATAGGCAAGAAGTAAGGCATGTAGCAACATCAGCACGGCAAAAGGCACTCCTTTAATTCAAGGAAGGGCAAAAATATTTTAAGTCAAGTGATAGCAATTGCTGTATGAGTTAACGATTTTTTTTTCAAGCATGTGCAAATAATATTTATGCTGCTAGTTATGAATAAAATTAGCCATTTTGGCATTTTTAAAACCAGAAGGATAGCTTGCATGTTGTAAATGGGAGGCTTAAACAATTTCTTTGACATTTCTGATGTTTATAACTGATGGAAACCTTTGTCATGTGTCTCTAGAACCATAACAAAAGCAAGGGCAATAGAAGTTATAACTTGTAGGGACATTATTATTATAAATAAATAAAATAATAATAATAATAATCATGAATATCATAAATAAAATAAACAAAACAAGTAACATTAAAACTTTGTTTAAAATAGATTAAAAATAAAAATAATAAAAATTCTCCCAGCATGCAACAGAAATTCTCCCTGTCAGAAAACTAACATCCTGCCAAAAGACGTTGAACTCTGTCTCTTCGCTACCGACTGGTGGATGATCAAGATATCCCAACCTCTGTCTCTCCCACTCCCAAGGACATTGCTTGTTATAATATGAAGTGACTTCTTCCTTTTATCACATGCAACCTTAAAACACTTGTAACTAAAATATGCAAATACAAAAATAAATAAATTGTATGATTTCAATTTACAATTTAGCATGTTTTTACTGTTATCTCTGTGAATGTTTTATTCTTGCGAAATATGTTTTTATACCCATGTGAACACAAGGCTATTTCTGCTGCTATGATGTTAGTGACTCCACAAACTCAATGTCTTAACTAAAAGAAAAACCTCGTAATTCTAATGAATGATTTATCTTTTATGGAAATATTTCGGCTAGCAGTTGCTAGTCTTGGTCACTCTTTAATTTGAATAAAACAGTACAAAGAAGTTCGAAACACTTAAGAATTTAAATCAAAGAAAACAAACTGAGTTGATGATGTTTACAACGTAATAGCAAGTCGAGGCATTAAAAAAAAAAAAAAAATTTTTTTTTTTTTCCATACCATATGGAGCAGAGATGTCCACAGAGGATGGAGTTGTGTTACATCTATCCTATTGCAGCCAAAATATTTCCATGAAAAATGAATCATTTGTTTGAATTACAAGATTTTTTTTTTAAATAATGCAACTACCAATGGAGACAAACATCCTAACTTCAATGTCTTATCAATTGACAAGATTAGTCACTATGCAAGAGTAGACAATTGGTTTTACCGATCTCAAAATCAGGAAATAACCAGTGGCGAGTCTGCATAACACCTACCAAGAAAGATGTATTTCTCTTCTGCAATATGACCCATTCACATGTTAATGTGCCAAAAAATCATAATTGTCTATTCTCTTTTTATTACAGGTTCATCCAGAAACAAGGCTTGGATCAAACTTTCTTTGAGTGTGAAAATCATTTATGGCGTGTGGGTCCAAGGAATATTCCAGCTGGCATCCGAATTGAAATCAGGCAGTGATTGGATTGGGATTCATCGGGATTTCTGTGAATATCTCGTCCATTCTGATGATGAATTGGTCACAGGCCTCAAACGCTTTTATGAATTTACCTTACTTCCAGCTGAGGTAAATATTTTCAAAAAATGAATAACTGGTTATTTATATTATTTCTCACCATTTACTGAAATTCTGATTTGCACATGGCAATTGGCAGGTACAATTTGAAAACTAACCAATGTAAAATCTTAATATTTATTATTACTAAAATAGTAGGGCAGTCTATTTACTCATAAGAAAAAAAATAAATGAATTGGTAAAAAATGATTTTAATACCAGAATAGAGAATCAATTAAGAAAGACTATATACATATATATTAAATGAAAAAAACAGACCACTTTAAGGTACCATTACAATAATTTATTTAACCAAAATCCTTTTTAAAGGACTTTTCATCAATATAACAAAGACAATGAAATGGATTTGCATTTCCTTGTTGGAAGGATTTCATAATTTCAAAAAATTAAAAAAAAAATATTATTATTCTATAAAGTTGTCTGTTTTTTCATTAAATATTATATGTATTCACATTGAGCTCTCAAGGAAAATCATCCTCCTTGGAATTACCCATTTTATTTTAAAGTTCTTTGTAACAACTAATATATATATATATATATATATATATATATATATATTGAAACTGCAAGGTCTGACAAAGCAAAACAAAAATTATTAGTCTTGCAAAATAAATTATTACCATGATTTTCTGAAGTCTCTGATTTGTTAATTAGCTAATACTTGCTCTATTTATTACATTGAGCTATCCTCCCTGGAATTATCCATACAGATTACCAATTAACTTATATATAGAATACATGTATGAAAAAAAAAATATTTCATATATATATATATATATATATATATATATATATAATAAGAAATATAGTCTTAAGGTGTGCTATATTTATGGGATAAAGTGCTCAATATCAGAGATAGAGCATGTGTAAATATAAAAGTGAACATAAAAGTCAACACTTAGAGGCGACAGTCTGTTTCATGCTAGATGCAATCGTCAATAGCCACAACTCTAAGTGTTGACTTCTATGTTCATTTATATATATATATATATATATAAATAAAAGAAAAGAACAGTAAGATATATAATCCGGTGTTCTTATAGATATTTTTATTTTTACAAAACCGTAAATAATGTAAATTTACAATAATTAATATTATAAATTGATTTATTTAAAATATGTTTTTTTTATTTACACAGTTCTAACCATGTTTTTTAAATTAAATACAAAATTAAATTCAAAATTTTTAGCTTCCATTTTTTGAAACATGGTTAGAAAACTGTGTATCAAAAAACCATATTTTAAATAAATCAATTTCCATATTATATATATATATATATATATATATATATATATATATAAATTTTTCAGACCTTCAGGCAAGTAAATGTTGTTAATACTGTTTATTATAAACAGAGCATTTACTTAAATATTTGTATCTATAAAAATAATGTATAAACAAATATAAACACATACTATCATAACACACACACACACAACATATATATATACATATATATATATATATATATAGAGAGAGAGAGAGACAGACACATATATATTTTTGTTCACAATATATAAAAAATATATATAATTTTAAATTTAGTTTAAATAAAGGATTGGATTGTATGAACACAAAAGGGATCTTTTACAAAACAACACATTAAATTCATTAATTGCTCACCATAATGAGATGGACCAAAATTTTGATTTCAAAGATCCTACTCTAATTATGAGAAAATAATTCATTAAACAAAAATGTTTAGAAAGTTCTTTAATCCTTAGATCATCAATAGTAAATTTACATTCTGGTTCTTAGAACATTTCACCATTCTTGACAGGTCTTCTATTATCACAATGTACAATATTTAATAACAAAAGTGATGCAAACATAAAGAAGAAGAATCTAAATGAAATTGTCTAAACTATATGATGTGTTCAGTGGAGGAGGGGGTATATTCAACAAAAAATTGAAAATTGCTTTTTTCACTGCAAATTATTCATTATATCTTATCCAAGTATTTTACAAACAATTAGAGCTGATTGCACAATATTTCAAACTCAGTTTCTGTTTATAGTTCGTAAACATGCAGTGAGATGAGGTAATATAAACCATAGTTTTGTCTGCAGATCATCATTACATTATTGTTACGTAATTATAGTGAAATCATTAAAGTTTTTTGTCAAAAGCATTTTATTTTTGGTCATATATTAATTTACAATATTCCTTTTTACAGGCCTATTTTTTGCAATAGAATAAGATCATTCTAAACTTTAAAATTTCACTATTGTCTATCAAAATGACTGGAAGAAAGTAATCTAAAAAATAGCAAAGAAAAAAAGTGGTAACAAAGCGTAAATGAAATAGCTCCAGTTTGTTCAACTTAGGAAACTTAAAATTGCAGCCAAAATATTTTAAAATGCTGCCAATAACAAAGGAGAAAATGAAAAATACCAAACAACAAATCGAATATAGCATCGAAATTTATATTATTTTTATTTATTTGTTATGTAACTAAATACATAAGTGTCAACAATGTTTCCGTAAAACTTGACATTTCCTGTAATAAATTCTTTATATTATTATTGTCAACAATTCCTTATGGTTAACCAGGAAAAGAAATGTTGATCAAAACTGCCTAAAACCTTTAAGTGCATATTGCCACAAAATTATCAAATGTTGACTACACCCCTCCTCTGCTGATCACATGTAGCCCAGCAAAAAAAGAATTTAAATTAAAGTTTCAGCATTCTCCCTCGTTCATGCACATGTATAATCACATCAATGTAATCATAACTTTAGTCCAATGAAGTTGTAAAAGACAAAACGTGTCATACAAAAAATTTGTTCCTCTTTGTCATAGATTTTACTACCTAACAGAGTAAATTTATTCAATAAAATCACTTCAACCACTGCCTCCAGACGACTATGGAATCTTTTGGATGATCTCGTTGATTAAGTTGGTGAACGCTGCCATAATCCTTGCTTTCCGTTCATCTTTGGTGTTACAACGAGTTTTGTTGGTCTCTAACTCAACTGCACCCTACACATAATAATCAAGCAGGTGGCATTCTGGGGAGTTAGGTGGCCAGATATAAAGGGTGATGTGACTGCAGACATTGTTTATCCTACTGTAAATGTAGGTATATGTGTTATTATTAATATATACTTTATAGCTCTGTTTAACTATATCGAGCACTGTTTTGTCTCCACCAAAAACTTAAATAGTTATTTGCTCCCCGCTGTATGTGTAGGTAATCCCTCACATATATGGTTGATTATATCTCTTTATTTAGATCATTTCTACATATATATATATATATATATATATATATATATTTTTAAGTAATTCATTGAGTCTAGAAGAAACCTCAACAGAATGCAAAAAGCACTGGACAGCCATTTCGTCCTATATTTGGGACTCATCAGCAATGTGCATCCACTACCAAGAATTGAAACCTGGACAGTTACATTGACAGGCAAATGTCATACCAACAGTACTAATGGGCCTCGATGATGAAGAGGTAGTGAACTAGACTTGATATTGTGCCGCTCGTTCACATATTCCGTGGTGGAACTCATCCAAGTTTCCTTTACCCATAGGACTGTGCCTCCAAGAGCCATAACTACTATCACCAAGCCAGAATATGTGAACGAATTTTTATCATATATATAAGTCTATATATTTAAAAGTCTCAGCCTTAAAGTTAAGATCAATACTAATTTTAAAAAAATGTAGATTTCCTTGATGTTACATTAGACCTAATTATTAATGTTTTCCAATCCTACATGAAAACAAATGCCAATCCAATATATATCCACCCAAATTCTAATCACCCTCCATCAATAATCAAACACATACCTTCCTCTATAGAGTATAAGATTAGCAATAACTCTTCCAGTGAAGATGTCTTTTACAAACATAGTAAAAACATTGCCTTAAAAGTAGTGGCTATAAATGCCCTGACATCAAATACATAAGACAGCAACAGCGATCATAGGAATAAAAATAGTACTAACCATTTTTCGGTTTCTAAGTTAGGGTAGAAGTTTCTCAATTTAACTGAGAAACACTTCCCCAAAAATAATCCACTTAGTTTTAGTGTATTTCTGTTAAAAATCTTACTAAGCTATAGCTGTACCGATAATCCTGAAAAGAAAATTAAGAAACATAATAATGAAATTTTAAATCAATGCAAAAACCTGAGTAATAATTACCATTCCAAAGCAACAAATGCAGATAATATCAATAAGTGTAATTGTAGAAATTCCAATGAATGTCCATTGCAAAACCAATGTTAAACAGACTCTCTTGTTTAACTAAGCACTATTTCTACTATAGAAAATCAACAGTTAAAAAATTTTATATTGGGAGTACCAAGAATTCCTTTAAAAATGGGTTGTACTAACATGTATTATCTTTCTTCAATAATGCATACAGAAATAGGATGACCCTTTCTAAATATTTTTGGAACTTAATAAGAAGTTAATAAAACCCCTACGGCAAAATGGAAAATACTAAAAAAAACAAACTAGAACTTATAAATCTTTAAATGAACCGTGCTTCTTATGTTTACATGAAAAATTATAAATTATCAAATTTGCTGACAAAAAATCCCTATTAAGACAAAGTGAATTAACTGTAAATTGCCAACAGAGTTTATTTTTTTTACCTTAAAATAGAGTTAAATTTTAAAAAATTATTTATTACAATTTCTTATAGCCATAATTTATTAGTATATAACGGTCCATCCAGTAAGAGTAATTACCTTATTTTGTTTATTCAGCTTTAATATTGTTGTCCAATTAGTATTATTAATATCTTATATAGATGTTCTACATTTTTATTTTTATCTACAGGCCACTTTAAGAAGCTTCCTAAATCTAAAAAAAAAAAAATTTCTGTTAAGTTTATGTCTGATTAACCTACCCCTCTCTTCAACATCCTTTCGAAAAACTGAACGTCATATTTGTCTACAGTCACAATTCATTTGTTGCTGGCATATTTTCCACAATTGTCGATGATGGCCTGTCTGGTTTACCATGGAATGAAGAAATAACTCCTTCACCCTCTGAGGTTACTTTTCTATTTAGCATAGATCTGACATTTAATTGGTTAATCAAGACATACCCACAAGTATATTTTAATTCTGACCTTATGTCCCCCTCCACTTAAATTTCGGAAAAGAGGTAACACCTTGTTTTTAAATTTTCTTAAAAATCATTTAAATCTCCAGCATGAAAGCTTTTGTGTAGCCATTTCAACGTTTTTTTTTATTATAATCTCTTATTATACACACACACAATATATATATATATATAAAAGAAAGAGACTTACACAGGAGCGTCGTTTTTAAAATTTTTGAATTTGATCTAACTACACAACATTTTACTTTTATTAATCATCACTTGCCTTGATAAAGTCGAATAACAAATCATGTTTGGCAAGGACTAAGAACTATTTTCCGATTGTCTTATTTCATTCAGTTTGTCTTATTTTTCTGAGAAATTTAACTATATATAACCATTTAAGCGTAAACATGAGAGAGCGGTGGCAAGTACAATATTTTTCCAAAGATTGCTAGATTCAATGCTAGAATGTATTTAGAGTTAAGCCCCTTAGATTTTAATTACACATATTTTCTGAATGTAAGGGGCTTAACTCTAAATATATTTTTAATAGTTATCTCCCTTGAATGAATTTGTGTCTGCTTATTCGCTTTCTTTTTTTTATGAATATGCTACCCGACTGTAAAGCCTCTTATGTGGAATGTCGTAAGCGGTCATGGTTCTCTGTGACTTCCTATCTTTTGTTGCGTAACATTCACATACACACCTAATCTAATAAAATAGGAGTAACTAAATACGTGCTTACCTCTCTTAGGTAGTCTGTCATTTGTCTGGGAATCAAATATTGCTGCCACATGTGATCTGGTGCTTTTAGGTTTCTAGAGATTCTTGAGAAAATCCAAAGAATCAGCAATGTTGTCGGCTTCGGTCACTTTTCCACTGCGGCTTCCCTGTGCCTTTTCTAGAAATATTCTTATGGTAATTGTTATGATGAGCTTTCCTATTTTGTACCCAGACTTCATAAGTGTTGTGCAAGATTAGTAGCTAGATTTACTGTCGAAATTGCTATATGGAAGTTCTCTGTTAATGGTCTCTATTTTCGGATTTCTCATTTGTAAAACCCTCTTCTGGCTTTTTGCTTTCCAGTCAACTTTGAACTGGTGTTTCAACATGAAGTGGCCATAAGCTGTAGTTTATTGAGTTCAGTCATAAGTTTTAAGATCTTGATATGTTATGATATTGACATGTTGTTGTTATTATTATTTATTGTGCCCTCACCTATCCCGTTTTTGTTTTTGTTTTTTTTAAGATCTACTTAAGATATATACTCTTGGTGTCGATCTAAACTAATGACTTTTTTCCTGTACCTTGTAACTATTTTGCTTAAACTTTGCATTTTCTTGATTTGAGATGAAAATTTGGAAATTTTCTGTTTCCAATAATCATTTATAATTCCAAGCAGTACTCTTGAAAATTTAATCGTTTTCCTATTTAAAATTTTCTGATGAATCATAATTCTTAATATAATGATTAACAAAGCTCCTTGTGAGTGCCACGACTATAAAATACCCATGGAATGAAAATACCCATTTTGCTTCATTAAATATTTGAGCTTAAAAATTTTTAACAAAATATTGCAATAACGAGCATAAATATGAATGCAGGTCATTATTTAAAGAAGAGGGTACAAATGAAAAGATTTGAAATTGACAAAGTTTTCCTGAAGCAAACATTAAATGCATGAAAGTGTTATTGTCTCCTATCTTCTCTTTCTATTTATGTATGCTTCCTTTTTTGCAAAAAGCATCTCTGGTTTGTCTTTTTCTTCCATTTTTCCTTGAAATCTGTTTTAACCTAAGCAAGAATAGAATAATCACACAAAGGTTGGTAACAAACAATAATACTTAGGACAAGAACAACACATATAAGATTCGTCAGCGGCGCATAGAAGTAGTTTACTGCTAGAAATGAGTCAAGTGAATTCCACAATGAATCTTCAACTGCAGTCCAACATACAGTATTTACTACTATATTTATGTGAATGGGTACATACCCATTATCGTCTGTAGGTATGCTACAACAAAATTAAAATGGAAGAGTCAGTCTGTGCACTGCCTTGAATAAGTAACTAATTAATGTCAGCAGAACCAGAGTTATAACTTATAAGGCATCAGTTTAAATTGACACCAGGAGAATCATCTTTTGAAATTGTTTGAGTGATTGATTTGTTTTTTATGGGTTACTACACTTAGCTTTACCAAAACTCCCATTAGGTGATGCTGCTTTAAGTTCTACAAAAAAAGACAAACATATCCTCTCTCTTCCTCTTGCTCCAAGATATCGCAGACATAAAAGAAAGCATCTCAGCTGTTCCTTTCGCCAGTTGATTGATGACTGAAGTAGTTTTTCTTTCCTTTTCAGCTGTATACAAATTAATGTACTTTCTCTCTTTTACAATATGATAAATTATAAATCATAAGACCTGCATTAATTGTTTGTTTAAAATCCAAGTTTTGTTTCTCATTTTTACCCAGGCTTACTTGAGTCTGCCAAATATTGTTTGTAGGACAAATGTACCATGAGACATTGAAAGGAATCCCTTTCAACCTTGTAACAAAAATGGTGATTCCTGCAACATTTATCAATACTTCATGGATTATTTACAGCTGAAACATATTTTTGTGATTGTAAAATAGATTATTATTATTTTTTTGCAAGTGAATATTGCAAATATTCACATTAACAATTTTTAGGGAGAAAAAACAATTTTTTTTCCATATACAAATCCTACTATTTAACCCATAGCTGGGAATATGCTTTTGAAAAGTCAGAACCTAATGAAACAATTACAGATAGTACAATTCCATTCCAAAATGCAATATGACCCATCTAGATGTTGATGAATTCATAGTTTTTCATTTCTTTCATGTTTCCTTTTTATTCTAAACTAATATTCATTGTTGGGAGTTTATCCAGATTGAATATTTGGTACAAACATTCTTTAACTTTATTTACATTATTCGGACTATTGTCCTCATCTTTGTCACCATATTTATCACAACGAAATTAACTGATAACTGACATCCATCAAACATGGCACGTGGAACTAGAAATAAAGGGTTCAGTTCGACATTCCAACCATCTGAAGAAGGCTGGAGTGTACAATGGCCAAAACGTTGTGATAAATATGGTGACAAAGATGAGGACAATAGTCCGAATAATGTAAATAATGTACATAATACCTCATCTCAGAAATATAGACAGATTCTTTGAATTGTTGACTTATAAAATTTTTTCTTTCTTTCTTTTTAGTCATTCTTCCATACCGTTCTCCAAAATAGTAAGTTCTGTGGAATGTTTGTAGACAACAACCTGCGAATCACAAACTGGCGCCGCAAACTGGGCTGCAAGTGTCAGTACAAACATATCGTGGATTGGTGTGGTTGTTCACCAAACGTCTTCAAGTCTTCAGATCTTCACAGACTTATGGTGATGTTTCATTTTTTTTTTTTTTTTTTTCACCTAATTTTTCAGGGGAGTTTCCTCCCTACAAACTCATTTCAATATATCCACTATTTTCTTGTGTCAGGTTCTTTTTTTCAGACAGCTTTTTTTTCCAATCATTTCACCCCAAGTAAGGCAATAAAGCTGTTAAGTTGCAAGAAGTCATGGAGCGTGAAATATACATACGTACAGAGCTGTGTTTTTTGAGTCAGGGTTCGGATTAATCTTGCAAAAGGTGGGTCCTGCCTAACAGAAAACCCTTTGTCAATGTGGTGATGTATATTTTTACAAGGCCAGATGGTCTTCCTGATGCCCAGCACACTCATGGTTGTCCAAATACAGAATGGTTTTATTGAGATACCCTCTTTAGGAAGGTTGTCATTCAAAGCTTGAAATTACCATCCTATCCTTATTACTGATGACCCCTGAGGAGTGGTTGCTTTAATTCCAGGAGGGTCCATTCTATGAAACTCTGGAGTCAGCATGCAGACAGTAACATCAATCATCTAAGTGACAAACTTATTACTTATATATGTTGGCCATTGGCTCCTATAAGAAGTTCTCTGCCCTTTGACATCTCTTGTTTTTCTTCCTGTGGGTGACATGCCACCCACCTCACAGCAGAAAAGCTAGTGGGGTAGGAATAGTTTAAAAACCAACCACCTGTTCATACAGTAGGTTGTACTGAGTTACATGTTACCAGTAGGAGGACTGAATTGACATAAAGATGTGGTTGAAAAGAAAAGACTGTCAATTTATAATAGCAACAAATGTCTGCAATAGATTTCTTCTGTCTCTCAACCGCAATACTTGTAGCCAAATCACAGTTCAAACGATAGCCCATCATAACAATCCAACAAGCAGTGTAGAAATGACAAATTGGGGTCACACATCCAACCTTCACTTCTCGCCAGCAAAAACATGTGTTCATCTCCCGAGCTCAGAAAATCTCCTGCCTTTATAAGCAAAGAACAACAGATTTTGTTCACTGAGAGATTTTTCTGATTGGTCACGCTATTCAGAGGAGGAAAGAACATTAGCATAGATTCTGGTCCTTAAAGTAGATTTTTGGTAATTTTTCTTCGACAGATTGCACACAAAACACAAACTCTTTTTCGAGGTAGCTGATTATCTCTTTCACTACAAAAGGATATATATATATAAAAAAAAAACATTATTAATGAGGGCAGCCTATAAAAGAACAGGAATTAAGGTGACAGAATATAAAAGATTCACACTGGATTTAATTTTTGGGAATTCAAAATTTACCAGAATGCAAGAGGCCAGAAGAGATTTTCCACAAGAAGAAACTGTCACCATAGAATTTATGGTTACATCTTGCCATTTCAAGTGTAAAATGATGAGACCTAACTGCCAATCTAGTACTACACTTAAATTTGAGGCACCAAAGAGAATAGCTCAACAGAACAGTTACCATGAAAATATTTGCAGGAAAGGTGAAGGGAAGTCATATTATGGCGGTGGGAAAGTGACTGAAGCTGAGATGTCAGGTCAGGACAAATAATATTGCATAATTCTTTGGATTTTATTTGAGAGGATCATTTTTTATTCACATTTTTTTTTCTTGGGATTTCCTCATCCCTGTGTTCCATTTTTTTGTATTTTTTGATCTTTTATCTTCGTTGGAAAAATAAAGTGGTAAAACAATTCAAATATCTTGGCTCAATTATCAGTATTTCTATATGCCTGTGAATCTTGGATATTAATATCAGAATTACAGTAAAGAATCCAAGCATTACAAATGAGATGCTACAGAACAATCCTATGCATTGTCCCCTATGTGTGCCACATCACAAATGATGCAGTACAAGACAATATCAGATAAAAAACAGGCCTATTGGAAGACCTCATATCTAACATCAAAAAGTGAAAGTTGAAATGTCATGGACAGGTCATAAAAGCCAGCTATCTTTCTCCTGCCAGTCTACAAAGTAACACCTTAGACAAAAGATACCTACTAAGCTTGAGTAAATGGATGTCAAATCAAGTTTTAGGGGAGATAGCAAAAAGACAATATTGATTAAGAGCTATAACAGACAGGAAATTGTGGAGAGCCATGATTGCCAACATCCTGATGGGACACAGCACATAAAGAAGAAGACTATATTAATAGTGTATCCCATCAGGATCTAACTCACTACATGAGTGAGTTTCTATGAAAGATAAACTAAGAAGCCATTGCACTCATGATGAACAAAGAGAAAAGACTTTCAAGCAAGATAGAAGTCAGTGGTCAGGAACTTAAAATAGTATGACAATTGTAACATCTTGGCTTCATTATCAGTGAAAAGGGCTCCAATATAAAAACAATTTCTAGAACAGGATAAACAATGGGAGTTGATGCAAAACTAAGAACCATCTGGAAAACAAGAAGATCTGTCTGAAATAAAAGATCAGATTGTTACATGCATTGGCTTTCTTAGTTGTTCTGCATGCTTGTGAATCTTGGATATTAACAGCAAAATTATAGTAAAGAATCCAAACATTACAAATTAGATGCTACAGAACAATCCGAGGCAGCATCTATGTACGGCATATCACAAATTATTCAGTACAAGACACCATCAAGCTGAATGAATGACCTCATATCTACTATGAAGAGGAGGAAATTGAAATAGTGTTTCCATGTTATAAGAGCCAACAATCTTTCCACTACCATCCTACAAGTTATTTCCCTAGGTAGAAATAGTCTGAGTGGACCATCCTTCATGGTGACACAGAGATTGGCATGCAACCAAGACATATGAAGGGAGCTGGTCAGGTGCTCAGCTGTGCAGTGGCCCTGTGACCACACCCAGTCATTGGACTGATGGTGATTAACAAATAGTATAATTCTTTCTACCATCCTACAAGATACCACCATAGACAGAAGGAGAGGCAGACTGAGGGGTGGGGGAAAAAGGACTAACAATGTCAACCTTGTGGAGTGAACAATCCTTCACTAAAACATTGCCACACAACCAAGACCTATGAGGTGAGCTGATCAGGTGTTCAACTACACAGTGACCTTATGACCACATCTGGTCATAGCACTGATGATATCAGCTTTTTAAATTCTTGTCTTTTATGGGACATTTTTTTTGTATTTTTATTTTTTATTTTATTTTAGTTATTGTTTTCTTTGTGGTTCCATACACTGACTATAAACCCCTAATAAATGACTTTATTTTGAAGAAATGGCAAGATGCTTGGAACAGCTGTCAAAACAACAAATTATTTCAAATCAAACCCTCTCTAAAGAAACAACTAACTGAACACAGAAAATCACGTCTTTCAAGAAGTGGTTTTATCCCCGTATTCAAGATAGGTCACACTCGATAACTCACTCCTTCCTACTAAAGATGAAGACCCTCCGAATGCATAGCATGCCAGGAGGTTTATACCGTGAAGCACTTCCTGCTTGATTGCGGTGACATGGCACATATTCGAAAAACTATTTTACAACGCGAACAATTTGAAAGAACTTTTCGAAAAATCAACCCCCAATTTGATCTTGACATTTCTTAGGAAAGTTGGACTATATAATAAAATATAATTCCAATTTGGTGTCTGATGATGAAAAGAGAAACCTTTTGATACTCGTCGGAAAAAAGTGAGAAATTTTCAAAGAACGCACCTCTGAAAACAGTGAATTTTTAAAAACAAAAAGCAAGACAACATCGAAAAAGAATGAAAGGAAAGTGAAAGTTATTTGAAAGCATTTCAACCTTATTTAAAGAAAAAAAAACAAAAAAAAAAACAACTGTTTGACCTTAAATGATCTCTTGCTGATCGATGGGTCGTTAAGTTTTAAACAAACAAACAAACAAAATTGTTTTCTTTGTGCTGCAGTCCTTTAATTATTTTGTCATTTTTTATTTAAGTTTTTTTTTTGTTTTGTTTTTTTTACACTATTTGACTTCTCTTGTTCCACCCCCCCCCCAACCTCTCTAAATAATTAAAAAAAAAACTGATACAATTAGTGGGGAACATCTTCTGTAAATTATGTTTAAATTTTAACTCCAACTATTAATCTGAATTCTTCTTTTGCAATTATTTTTATTTTTTTTTTTTCAGAATATGGATGAGAAACCCATCTTCTTTGCACGAAAGTTTGAACCTGTCGTCAATCAGGACATCATAAATAGTGTTGACACGTACTTATTTGGTTACAGCAATCAAGGTAAGTCTGAACCTTTTCATCACTCTCTCTGCAGTTCTGGTCAATTTCTTTTATTGAAGTTAATTCAAATTTTAAATTGTTTTTCAGAAATTTATCCTTCAAAACAATCAGCAACTTTTTTAGTTTATTCCTGGCCCCACATAGAAGGGTCGAAAGAATGTCAATGTAGGAGGGGATGTCAATGAGTAGCCACTTAGGGCCTAAAATGGCTAACATATTCAAGAGGTTTTGTAAGCAAATGTTGTTTTTCCAGTTTGAGCCAACCTAACTCCTATTTACATTATTTTGATGACACCTTTTGTTTGTTCAATACAAAGTTGAAGGGAGAGATGTTCCATGTTAATTTTAAACTGTTTGCATCCAGCTCTCCATTTCACTAGCAAAAGAGTAAGCAGAGGTGCTTCATCATTTTTAATGTGTCAGAATGTTACTTCTGTGTACTGAAAACTCATGTTTAGAGAACTTAATGCTTGTTGGAATTTTTTTTTGTCCCAAGTGGTATAAAATTAATCTCATAAAAGAGCATAGTCCAGTCACACTAGTGTGCCACAAAGTATTGTCACAGAATACACACACACACACATATATATATATATATATATATATATATATATATGTACAGGAGTAGAAATGGTACAGTATAAGTATTTGAATAAATGAATGAGTATTAAAATTTTTATGCCACATTAGCTAAAAAGGCTTTATCAGTTTTATTGCAGTTTTCCACGTCTTATTTATCTGAATTAGGTTTCTCAACCATAAATAACATCAAAAATAAAAAGCAAGAAAGACTATGCTCAATTGAAGAAGAAATGAGTGTCTACTTATCACACATTCAATTTTTCAAATTGAAGAAATTGTGAAAAAAGACCAGAAACAGGTTTCACACAAAATAAGCTGCACAAATAGTTAAATAGAAACATTGAAATGAACTCAGTTCATCCTTGCATGTGTATTTTTTTTTTTTAAATCTATGGTTTTATTTATAACATTTCATACCCTTTAAAAACTTTGCTGTGTGCCATGATATTTTTGTTTGTTCTTACATGTGCCATTGCTTAAAAAGGACGAGAAACAGTGTCTTAGTCCATTGGGCCTTATTGATCTGTTTTACAAATAAATTAGAACAGAAAGTAGAATTTATTAAAAAAAGTATTTTGTAATAATGGCTGTTCTTTAGATGAGGGGAAATCTAGCATGGAGACTATTTCTGAAACTCTTCTGTAAATTTTTAAGGATTGATAGTTTTTTTTTTTTCTTGCCAGTTGTTGATGAGCACTTTATTGTTATTCAATGGACACATCTTGTAATCTTCCCAATCAATTTTAAATGATTTTTAATCAACTCTGCCCACTTAGAAATACATGCTGCCCTTTTGAATAAATTTATTACTGTTATAATAATTGTTACATTTTTATATACATTCCATGCACTAAATGTAACATCTATTATGGGACAGAAATAGTGATTGTTACGGGCCAATTACGAGATAAACATGTGTTTCCTGAAATGCCCACAACCAACATGGTAGATTCGGAATATGAGTCCACCTAAAAATGTAAGGCAACAACAATGACCAACATAATATATATATATATATATATATATATATATATAGTTTATGCAAAACTAGGTAATCCATATGGGTAGACCCAAGGAGGATGATATCCAGAGAGCTCAATGTAAATTCAGAGCAAATAAATTTGAATAAAAACAGACCACTTTAAGGTTCCATGTTATAAATTATTTCACCACAGCCCTTTTACTTCCAAAGTATGTGTATACTGGTTCCATTTAGCTTGAGAAGTGTGTATGTATGTGTGTGTATGTACTTATTCTTGTGGTCGGATGGTGTGTATGTGTACAAATGAGTTTACTAATTCCTCATAGTAAGACAGTATATGTATAGAGGGGAAATATACGCACGCATATATACACGCATGCTAACAGAAACGCACGAAAATGGAAACAGATCCAAGAACACATAGGGGTCAGTAAAACATTAAAAGATAAAATGCCGATAAGTAATTCATCATTTATAACCAACCTTAATTGTTTTATGACCCTTCATATAGAAACTTTTCATTGCCAAGAAAGAAATTCAGATTACTAACACAAAAACAGAGAATGTCTCATATCGAGAATATTCAACATTGAAAAACATAAGGAAAAAATTAATTATTTTTAATAACATGTGGAAATCTCCACTTTCACCTGAAGACGGTCATGAGACCAGAAACACGTGTAGTAAAATTATTGAAAATAAAGCATAATATTTTTTTCTAAAAAAAACATATTACAACCAAAAACATTTGTGGCATGTCTCTTCTCTTCTTTTTAATATACATACTTTTATCTCGTTGGAACCACTACAACCTCTTTCTTTTATATATATATATATATAAACAAATAATAAGGTATTAACAATAAATGGTTATGTATACAATAGAATATTGTTGTGTGTTATTAAACAATGAACATTAATGGAGAAAACATTTAAGCTAGTGAAGTGTTTGCATATGTGTAGTTTACTATAGAAGAAAGTCCTAGAAAAAAAAATGTAATAAAAAGGTGTGTACATACATGCATGTGTGTTGTTCAACAGGTGTCCCAAAAAGGGAAACGATTCTTCCTCAAGAAATTCACATGTTGATGTCTATGTGAAAGGAATGAGAAAAGATATCACCGAGTATTTATAGACTGGAAAGTGTCCCCTAGCTGCAGTTTCAAAAATTAGGAGGAGGTAACCCAAAAGGGACACACACATGTCTTATAATACTTGCTACATTTCTTGTATGAAATGGATTTACAAATGTAACAATTATTATGGGACAGATATACTTTACATCTGTCTCATAATAATTGTTACATTGTAAATCCATTTCATACAATAAATGTAACAAGTATTATGGGACAGAAGATTTAAAATAAAAAACCTCTGTTCCATAACAGGCGGCATGTGGGGAGTCTCTCACTGTGTGAGCACTTTCCATGGTATCAAAGTACATTCCCTGTGGAACAGACTCTCAAAAAGATGTTTCACTATAACTATTCAAATCTAGAGTTAACTATTATCTTCCCTTCCTATCCATATAAAATACCCCTTAATGTAACCCTAAACTTCTCTCTATTAATCATCTGAGAGACCCCTTGCTGCTTTCCATCAGTATGGCTGATGCTATCCTCCAGGGGAGTGACTCATTGCACTTTCTTGGGCTCATGTTCTCTGCTGATATGAAATGAAAAGAGTATATTGAATCCATTGCTAGGTCAGCTGCTAAGAAAGTTGCACTAGAGAATTTTTCTCCACAGAATCTGTCTTGCATATCTATAAATCTACCATTCGTCCATGCTGAGAATATTGCTGCCACATTTGGTCCAGTGCTCCTGCTGTTCACTTTGACCTTCTTGATAAAATCCAAAGAATCTGCAATATTATTGGTCCTGATCTGGCAGCTCAGCTCCAGTCACTTTCCCACCGCCATAAGGTTGCCTCTCTGTGTCTTTTCTATAAATACTTTCATGGTAATTGTTTGAATGAGTTCTTCACTAGTTTTTTTTTAATTTAAGCACAGCACTAGACTGGTGTCAAGATCTCATCAATTTACTGTTGAGCTGGTTAGATGTAACCATAAATTCTATGCTAACAGTTTCTTCTCTCACACTTCTCGCTTGTGGAACTCCCTTCTGGCTCCATGCTTTCCAGCCAACTTTAATCTGCAAAAATTTAAAATGCATTGTGTTATATAGGAATAAAGTGTTGCTGCCGACACTGGAGTTTGAACACAGATCACCAGAGAGCAAGCACAGGCGATCCCATTTTGAATAAGTAGATCACGTGATGGTAAAGGAAATGTATATATGGGAATTAGCATGGCGTCTAAGTGATCATTATATGGATTACTATTCAGTGGTTACTTTTCAAGCGAGTATTATTAACCAAGTACTATTAGTGAGTCTTATTTGAAGGCATCTGACACCAGTATTGTTGAACAGTGTTACTATAGTTGTATCTGCGATTACAAAGTCTCTACTACAATGAAAGTGATACTAAGTATTCATTGACATTACAAAAGTGGCAACAAGTGTTTTTTGACATCACAAAATGTTAATCACTATCTGCTCTTCTCTTTCCGCTCATTATTAATGTTTCTGTTTCTAATCCTTCCCCACCCTGTAACCCGTGGTGTTTTAGTGGCATTATTGCTTTGCCTGGGGTGATAGCATTTTAAAAAAAAAAATTTTCTTTCTCTGATCATTTTATTTTTTTTTTTTTTTTTTTTCAGCTTATCCTGGATTTAACAGTTACTGGCAAAATGACTATCACCATTTAGATAAGAAAACAAAAGTTGATGATGCATATAGGACATTTTTTTTCTTTTTTCATTCAAATTCAACACAACACATTTTGGAAAATGACCCTCAGTGTAAAAATATAAAACTTCAAAATTGACCTGCAAGAGGTCACGATATTCTTTGAAGCTGACCATTTTCATGGCATCCTCGTCAAGTATTCAGCCGAACTGACCAGTATGGGCAGGGTTTATACGTTGGAAAGTCACGTCCATCCCAAGTCCTTTTATTATGTTTACAACTCTGGTGAGATCATGGGACGTTTACAAGGATTAGAGGTAAGTCTAAGAATTTGTCCTGTTATTTTGGTTTCTGACAGATTTTCAAAGAATAAATTTATTCTTTGTAGAATATCTTCTGTATTTAATGAGTGTTTTAGTGAGTAGAATTGTACAGTAGGCATTGTAGTGTGTGTGAAATAATAATAACTCTCTTCAGAGGACTGAGGAAGAAGAAAAGAAATTTGTGAGCCTATGTGAGATATTTCCCTTTCACAGAAATTAACTGGTGAGCCGAAAAGGAGAAAAGAAATTCGCAAGCGTACACAGGAGGCTAAAAAACAACGATAATCATGGTTATCAACTCTATTTTATAGGTATCAGAATTGCACCCAATGAATCACCTTACACCCGTCACTGTTGTATATGATGAGTAATGTGCAAGTTCTGAGACAATAGACCCATGGGACAAAAGTGACAATGAAGAATCCAACCTGGTGAGTGAAATGCGAAAATTTGACATGGAGAATCTGTTCACTGGACACTTACATTTATTATCAAACCCCTATTTTCTGAAGGATCTAAAAAACTGTAGATTTGTATGGCTTAGGACTCATAGTTTGGAAATCTCTATATAGACCTGTGTATGGTGCTTCCAAAATAGTTAACCACAATAATAAATTCTTCACAATTCCAACAGTAGAAAATGTGAATAGCAATGTTCCCATAGAGAGACTGAAACCAGCAATTGTCTCAGAAATGTTAAAAATACCTAATATTGATAAAGCAATCCCAGCATGAGGAGATACCTCGCCAGATATCGTCAGGACTATGGAGACAATACAGCAAAACACGAGAACTAAGTCTGGCAGATTGATTACTTGGAAAAGTGACAATAGATACCACTACTATTAATGCACTAAAGGACTCCTTCAAATCTTGGAAGGAAAGTGATGTAGTGAATGTGAAATAATAACAACTCCCTTCAAATTCAGTGAGTGCTTTTGGAGCAATGAAAACCTTTCCTTCACAGAAATTACCTTGTCAGAAAATAGCCTATGCAAAGTTCTTTTTGATATGAAATGAGGAGAAAAATTAAATTAATAAGAGTGTCTAAAGTCATGTGAAAGGTTTTGTTTCTGTTCATCATGACCAGGGTTGAAGTTCTCACAAGTGTAAAATCACTTGCCAATTATTGGCCTCTAACCAGCAAATGGCACTTCAAAGAATTTTCTCTCAACAATCCAAGAAAACTAAGTATTTTAAACAATCTATTTCTGTCTACTTTTGAACATATGAAAACCATATATACCTTTGGTGAGCAACAAAATCCCGTACCTTTGTTTTAAACATTTTTGAATATTATTTTGAGTCAGATAATTTCCTCTTCATGACAATACATTGAAAGTAAGGACTTTAATAATTCTGATTTATTTTCCCGAAACGAGCTATTGACACTTATTCACAAATTTACATGCTTGAATTAATTTTGTATTCACTGTTTAAAAAAAAAAAAAAAAAAAAAAAAAAGTGAAACACAGAGACAGAAACATACCCAGTAAAAGCAGGTATAGTAATAAGAAAAATGTTGGCTTAAAAGATTGCATTAAAAATAAATGTTGGCATCTAAATAGTGCTTTTAAAAACTTTGCTTGAAACAAGTTAGAGTACTGTGTTGCATTCTGTATCATTTTGAGATTCCCCACACTACTCATAAAATGGCATCAGTGAAAATAGTAATTTATTTTTGGTATTCATTCTTTATTAAGAATTGAAGCTTGGATTCTAAGAGGCAGTAGAAGGATTGATGTCACTGGAATGCATGTCACTCAGTGCCTGTCTATGAGTGATATTAGCTTGTCACAAACCTGGATGTGGGAGACATATCTCGGCTTCAGAATTCTTGAATTTGCTCAGTTTTGGACTTCAAAACCCAGACAAAGGCAATCCATCACTGGCAGAATGCCATGCCCATAAGTCCCTCCAGCCAAATGCTGACAATTCTGGCCCTGGCCTTTGCATTTTTCCTTCAACTGTTACGTGATATCTAACCTCTTGTATCACAGTGTATGCTGGACTATCTCCTCAAAGATGAAGTAAAGACTCGAAGCAACAGGATGAAGGATGGTGTAATGGATAATGGCTTGGAATTGATAATTGGAGAACACAATTCCAATTGGGTTTTACAGCACTTGCTATACCTAAGCAGTCACTCATCTCGAGCCTGGCCAGGCTTGACATTGTTTATTAATACGAAACAAAGAAAATGGAATTTAAACAAATGGCCATTAAATGCATGTATGAAACAAAAGTGAGTATACAATTGAAAGTAAAGGACAAGATATTAAAAAACTATGTATGAAGAGTGTGCGATATTTACTATATCTATATCTATATATATATAGCACTGATATAGCGAGGCTCTTTGGCAAAAAAAAGAATTGAGTCACTGTCAGTCACTGTGTGTTTATCTAAGAAAATAAATACGTTAAAATTCAACCTTTATCCCTGCTGTGTGTTGACGGTTTAGTGGTAGAATTCTCGTCTGACACCAATTCAGTCAGGTTTTGATCCTAGCTAGAGGCAACCAGATGTCTAGCCACACTGAAGAGCTGTGAAACAGCGTAACAGTCTGTCTGTGGATGACTATATATATATATATATAATATAATTTTTCGTATATAATATATAATGTGTGAACTGGGGAAACAAATGCACTTCAGGAGTTGCATCCTTTATTTACATGTTGCTACAACTGGAACAAGAGAAAGAAACTTTTATAGATTTATTAAAGCACCTCTTCAAGGTTATTTTTGGCCAAGCCAAGTGAGAATCCCACAAAGTTTTAAAAATAGAGAATTCTAAAAACACACACAAAAACAAAAAATCATTAATTGTTACCTTCCTTTTAATATTTCTAAAATTTAGATTTTTCATTGATGTTATTTACTTCATGAAGTAAAATGTCAATTTAATACTTTCAATGAAGCTAATTTTAACATAAAAATGAGAATTGCTGTTATGAAGTGAACCTGTAGTAAATCAGGTAACTATTTTAGACAGATTCCTTTTGTTAGACATTGTGTTTAATTCAGTACTTATCTTGCAAGTCAAAATAATTGCCTTTTTAAAATCAAATTTTCCAGGTTGGGACTGACTTTGATCCGAAGGAACTTATTTTCCGAAATCATGGCCAACTTATGGGACCCTATAGCAACATTGCTCTACGACACTCATGGGGTCACGGTAATGAAGTGGCAGTCTCTGTAGCTTGGATTGACCCTAGCAATGTGATCGCAGCATCTTTTGATATGAAAATTCCTCCTGGTCTGCATGTCAGTGCCCACAAGCCCCAATTTAAAAAACCCTTACGACCAGGAATTTGGACAATTAAGGTCTTTCACAAGTGGGAGACATTCGCTGAGGTCAAGTTTCTGGTTGTTCCATTAACGTTCTATCAGGAACGTCCCATCACAGTTTCTGAAACTTATGCCTCTCACAATGGACCCCAAGGTCAGTATCTTAACAAAGACTTTGATTTCTCCGAGTTTCAGAAACTGTTGAAAATTGAAAATATCACAGAAGCAGAAACCAATGCACGCGTGAATGGACGAAAGATTGGTAAAGATTTAGAGAACTGGGTTGATTCGCTGACCAAAGAGTTTTGGCATATTCAGAACCACTGTGTTCTGGAAAAGCTGATTCCAAACTGCCCTGTGCTTGAGAGATGCCGGGATACAGCGTGGAGTTCCATGTCTCCAGATACAAAATCAGAAATCACAAGTGTTGATGGAAGTACAGGTTACCTGCGGTAGAATTTCTTTATGGTCGGGGTAAATTTTGTGCAAAACTAGTTTTTGGGGGTTTGTTTGTTTGTTTGTTTGTTTTTTGTTTGCTGCCCATGATTTTGAATTTTTGCAGTTTTTCTTGAAAAAAAGTGTGAAAGGAGAAAAAAAAAAGTTAAACATATTCAACTGTGGAAATTTGAAAGTTTTTTTTTTTTTTTTGCATTTTCCATGAAGATAGGTTGTTGGGGTATTTTTTATGAGCAAATGATTTTTTTAATTTTTTTTCTCAGAAATTTAAAATTAAAAAGTTTTGTTAAATTTTAAAGAAAATTCTTTTTTTTTTTAACAAAACTTAAAGTTTATGAGAAAAAAAATTTTTAAAAAGTTTTTTTTTTACAAAAAATTTCTCTTTTTTTAATTTTTTTAAATTTGAGAAAAAACAATTAAAAGAAATTTTCTTTAAATTTTTTTTTATAGAAAATTTTTCATTTTTGGGTGGGAATTGGTTAAATGTTTTTCTTCTACTAAAAGTCAGAAAGGAATTTGTCGTATGTATATGGAAATTAAAAAAAAGATCCAATCAAATACGATTTTTATAAATCAAGCAACCAAAAAAAAAAAAAAAAAGAATGAAAATACATTCATGTTTTTTCTATTATGCAATGATTTTAATCAAAATTTTAATTTTTTTTAAGGCAAATACTTTGGGTTATTTTTCTATTAGTGTGTGTGTGTATAAATTGTTGACAGATGTTTGAGTGAAAGAGAGCAAAAGGACAGGTTATTTTTGAAAACAAGAAATGAGGCAAAAATATCAGATGTTAATTCAGTTTCTTTTTAAATCTAATCCTAGTTTTAACAGTGAAAATGTGATAGTTCCTTAATATCCAGTGTATTACGTGTATAACATTCTGATTTTTTTTTCTTTTGATTTCTTTTTAAAATTTGCTACACCAAATTTTTCCTCAACTAATAAGAATTGGATGTGGGGAATTTTTTTTTTTTTTTTTTTCTTTAATATCCATGTTTTTTAGAACAGTTACCTCCCTTTTTAAGAGTTATCGCCCTTGGTTAGTTCTTCACCTAACCTAAATACGGAGATGAAATTCCAATTCACGATTTTTTTCAGACGAATGTCTTCTTTTTAAATGGTTTGCTGAAGTTAATTTATAAAATATAATTATTTTATATGTAAAAAAAAGATATTCGTAGCTGTATAGTTATTTATTTTTCATAGTTAATATTAACATATTTTGTAAACTGAAATTAGAAAAATTTAATACCATGCTTGAGAGCAGATCTTGATCGACAATGGTTATAGTAGTCATTTTCCCATAAATGAATAGTTAAATTGTAAAGGAGTGTGAGAAATAACTAATCATTTCAGTTTTGCATAGTGCATGACTAGCAATGAAAGCATACACAGGAAGAACTGGCTTCATGCCTTCCTCAAGCATACATATATATTGGGTTGGCGAAAATGTTTGTTTCATTTATTAAGTAAATTTTCTACTTAATGAACTTTTTTCAGCCAACCCAATATATAGAAGAGTGGTCACTAAGATCAACACCAAGTGATGACAGTCCATTTCCTTACTGAACTTAATCTTCAGGTCATCAATTCAGATGGCCTAAATATTGCATTGACCTCTGTGTCATCCACTTCAATATTTTCACATGCTCTATACTGGATGTTAAGTACCCTTAAATATATCATACCTGAAAAGTGTTTTATCATTCACACACACATTATATATATATATATATATATATATATATATATATATATAGGACATTCAGGTCAAAACCCAGAGGCGACTCAGTGTCCACTTTTGTATTTACATACACTATCCTCAATATTAACCCATAAATATAGGTCAATTCCTTAAAAATATGTTTTTGTGCACATGACCGAGTGGTTAAAATGTTTGGATCTCACCATGGTCGATTTGTCAGTAAGTTATTGGACTGGAGGGGTTGATCCCAGCATGCAGCACCTTTGTAAAGGTGCCGGAAAACCATACGACAGGTTGACCCAAGCCTTGTGAGTTAAATTGGGTAGACAGAACACTTGGGTGCTGTCGATAGCTGTGCTAGCATGAAGTCACAAGTCATCGTGGCCGATCATGCTAGATAACACATTGAAGGTCTGCTCAACATAGTTGCAGTATAAACCACAAGTGGGCTCTGTGGGTGTTGAATTAAGCATCTGCAATAGGGATTGATTGGTTATAGGACAATTGCCCCTATAAGATAACTAATTATAGTGATATAATATGAAATGTAAGAATTGATTATTGTATTTGTGTATAGCCTACAATGTATAATTTTAGTGATATAAAAATATAAATATTATTATTGATTGGATAACAGATAAAACATGAAAATAAAACACTAATTAGTTTTATTAGTATTATTCTCCATCCACCAGAATTGTGCTTTCTGGGGGCAATTCCCTTGATACTATCTTTATCATATATATATATATATATGATAAAGATTGTTGGTATTAGAATTTGAGCTTTCTCATTAATGTAATCGAATCTCCAAAATGTCTTATTGAAACAAGTCATTCTTTCGTAAAATAATTTTACTATAGCAATTATGCCTGGATTTAATTTTTCTTTTCTCTGTATCTTAAATGTAGGAATGATTTTTTTTTTTTTTTTTTTTTTTTTTTTGGTGGGGTGGGAGGTGCTATCAAGTTCAGGATTGTTTTCCTTCACGTTGAATTTAGGCTTTTAAAACAAATTATTTTGACTTTAATAAACGTGGAATTCCAAGAAAACCTGATTCTTAGAAAAAAATTGAAAGTACTTGGGTTAAAAAGAAAAAAAAAAAAACTATGGTGCCTTCCTTGATGAATTTCATCTTAACATCAAGAAACTGATTAGACAACTCGAAAGGATCAGTATAAAAAAGATAAGTAGACACTATATATCTATATTATTCAATGAAACATGTTTGAATTAAGATTACTATATATATATATAGTAAAGGTGATAAATCTGTTGGTATATAATCCAAGTGGATCCCAGTAATATAAAATATTAAAACTGATCCACAAAAAGAGCTCAATGCATTATACAGAGCAAATAAATAGTAGTAAACAATAAAATCCAAAATAACCTCATATAGGGTATAGACCTATTTCAACCAATGAAAACTTTGTCAGTATTATTCAACCCCAGTACATAGACTGAGTTTGTGTCAGAATTAGAAATTTAACTGTGACAACATTTGAAAATTGATACAGAATTTATTCATTTCAATGTTTCAGTCAGATGAAAGGCATGAGACTATGGTCAGGGGAGGGTGCGTGGTATTAGCCTTAAAGGGAAGAGGTTTTATAAAATTAAACCCGGATATTAACCTATGACATTAAATTCAGGTCATATGAAGAATGAAGTGTTAATTTGAAACCGAGAGGAAAAAAAAAAATTTTTTTTAAATATATAGACAAGGTTAAGTTTAAAAATAAAAGTTCCTATTTAAAAATACTCTTCCAAAGATAAATTATACCTAAAAGTAAAATATATTTAATAAATTAAAAATAAGTCAGTTTTAACATAAATTATCTAAATATAAGATTATATTTTAAAAAAAGTTTATAAGTAGATGGGATCAGAATTTGAACTTCACTATTAATGTCATCAAATATGTCAAATGTCTTTTACATGAGGAGCTATCATTATTTATATTAGGACTATTGTCCTCATCTTTGTCGCTATCACAATGTTTTAGTCACTGTGCTCTCCAGCCTTCCTCAGGTGTGTATCAATCCTGGTAACCTACAGGTAATTCTGAACTAACCTTTTATTTAATCTGTGGGTATGGGCAGTGGAACAAGAACAGTCGATGTCTAGAGATATCTTATCTAGTTCTTTTTTTTTTAGTACTATGTTAGTTATATTTAGTTATGGCTGACTGTTTTTCCATTGAGTTCAAGTACATGCTGCTTGGCCCAGGGATTGAAATTACAATTACTATATCACCAAATTCAAAAACTAACCACTGAGCTATTGTCCCATAGGACAATTGTCTGTAGAGAACTAACTTGGAGCCTTAAACCTAAGCTGCCTGCTGATTAGTGCTGTTGCTTGTCATGTTTAACTCCCTGAAGCTTTTCTCCTTGTTACAGCTGCTGCTATTTGTCTTTATAACTAAAGGTCTAACACTATTTTGAAACTGGTATGAGCATACAGCAGCATACACTGTGACCTTTTTAATGATAATCTTATTTTATGGAGTGTAGGGCTGGATACCATTTAGCATATTCTGTAATGTAGAGTTTCTGATTGAAACCAGTGGTGGTGCTGCCATCAGAATCTTTATCATCCCAGGCAACAATGCTATAATAATGCAGCGGTGAGAGCATTAATGATGTCCCCCCCCCACCTCCTGTAGTTCATAGCAGTGTTTCCAGGGTTCATTTGCTCAAAGCCATTTTCGATCCTTGATCTGAGAAAATAGTTGCACACAGCTGACAGTCTAGCACATGCGATGTCCAATGTGTCCTTAAGAAGGACAAAATAATAGTATATATTCTTTTTAATTTTGTTAACACTTGCAACTCTAACCCTAGAAATTATATATATGGTGGAGTAGTGAATAGTGACTTAGATTAAATTCCAGTCAAATCCATTACATTCACTTATGTGCTAAAGCTCTTGGGAAAGGAATCCTCTTCTTCTCTAGCTACCCTCCCCAGCTATGGGTAAAAAGCAGGACAGAATGGGTTCTATAGCCATGGATGACAAGTGGTCTAGGAGAAGGACAACTCTGAATTCAAAACCTGTGGAGGGTCGTTTGGGGACTTTGTGGCACATAGTGCACCAGGTCTCTGTATTCGGCCCTTCAAAGTGCGGATAGTTCTGCACAAAACCTTCACCACTATAATCTCATGCTGGTGTCATGCTGTCGGTTCCTAAAAACTGATCTGTTTGACCCTCATATGTCGAATATGACAGGAGAGTCCATCATTTATATATATATATATATATATATAAAAAAAAGTGTGTGTGTGT